GCGGGCGCCCAGGATCCTCCCAGGCAGAGCCCAGGGCCCAGGGCCAAGGCCGCGGAGAGCTCCAGGAACCAGCCCGGGCTGAAGGCCTTTCTGTCAGCAGCTCATCTGGCTTGAAAGAAGAGAAGGCCTCTTCCATCCCCCTCCCTCTTCCTCCTTCCCCTCTCCCCTCCCCCTTCCTCCCGCCTCCTCTCTCCCTTCTTCCTCCCCCTTCCCTCCTGCCCCCTCCTTTCTGCCTTGACCCTAAGACCCCAGTGAGACAGCGGATGGGCTGACACTACATCCCCCTCCAAGCGGTGACAGCCTACAGCCTGCGGCTCCCTGGGTTGCTGGTCCAGGCTGCCCGCAGGCCCAGCCTGACCTGCCCCCAGGGAGGAGGCAGGGACAGCCTGGCCCAGGCGCTTCCTAAATGTCCTCCTCCCGTCCATTCCCGCTGGGACTCCGGTCAGGCTGCGCCGGCCTGTCCTCATTGGGGGAGGAGGAGGGCGTGAGGGGTTTTGTCTGCAGCGTTCACGCAGGACGCACAGCCTGCTCTGGGCACCAGGAGCCTGGCCCTCCCTCCCGCTGCTCCCAGAGGCCCCGGGGTAGAGGAAACGCCGGGCGGGCCAGGGCCCGGGTGGTGGTACAGGTAGGTGAGGCCCTGAGGGGCCGGGCGTGCCCCGCCCGCCTCCCCTCCCTCCAGGCCCCTTCTCTGTGGGACACGTGGGGACTGATGCCCGTGTGGCCCGTGGGGAGCGGAGCCTCCCTCTGATAGCAGCTCCTGCCGCAGCCGCTTGTCCTCTGGGCAGTGAGCGGGGCCGAGGCCCAGGACAGGTGCCAGGGTTCCAGGCCTTGGGGCCGGGACAGGGGGCCCTAGCTCTCTCGTCTCCACTTCTTTCCGGTCCCTTCCATCCAGCCCAGCCCAGAGCGCGCCCAGCCTGCTCCGACCCAGGAGCCCAGGGAAGGTGGCGGGGTGGGGGGAGGTGGTCGCCTACTGGAAACCCCTGCAGGCAGAGTGGTAGGGGCAAGAGTGGGAGCTGGTGAGCACACAGCCTGCTGCTGGGACTCCCAAATCCCAGCCCAGATGTTGGGGGGTTGGCCCTGCAGGCAGCATCGGAGCCCCACGGGCGCTGCC